TCGGCTGGGGTCGTGCCTACTCCTCCCCCCACCCTCAGGAAGTGACATCATCCCACTCTCACAAGGAGGAGCCGGAGCGCGGATTCTGGGAAGCAAGGAAAAGGATGGGGAGCACAGAGCCACGAGGTGGGGGGGCTGGGGGGGCCGGGGACTAGGGCTCCGGTGGTGTGTCTGTGACACGTGGCGGCAGCACCGGCTTTGGTTAGAAAGGAGGGGACCGGGGGTGGCAGCAAGGCCAGGGCCGGACACAGCTGCCCACAGCTGGGGTCCTGCCACCAGTTCTCCACTGCCCCTCCTGGTCTCCGGTGGAGTGTGGGGTGGGGCTCAGGGCCCCCCTCACTCCAAAGGAATGACTGGGAGGGCTGGGGCCAGCGGGAGCCGGGAGCTGAGCCGGTGCCTCCCAGCAGGCGCTGTAGCTCCGCCTCCTGGTCTAATCAGGGCGGCCCTGGTGGAGGGAGGGGAGCACCAGCCCTCGGGTGGAGGGAGGACCCCCTCCCCTTCCCCCATCCCGGGCAGCACCAGCAGCTGAAGGTGAGGCCCGCCCCTGCTAGCAGCCCAGAACTTCCTGTCCTGGGTGTGCCCCGGGGACCCTTCCCAATGGCCTGCCCCCCTCCCTCCACCTCGTGGAGTCTAGAAGGATGAACACTCCTTAAACTCACACGTGCCATCCTTGCATCCCCCTGGACCTCACACGCAGCCCCACGCGTGCACACGGCCACGGCCTCCCTGGCTCAGGTGGGAGAAGTAGGGCCGGCCTGGCTCCTGCCCTGCACAGGTGGCTGAAGGTCTGTGAAGGGCCCACCGAACCACGTGGACCCCGTGGGTGACCCGTGGGTGCCCCGTGACAGACCCGGGGCCTCGCCCCGCCCCTCTGGCCCGCCCCTGGGCACGGCCACGCCTGCAGAATCCGTGCACAGGCCTCCGGGCCTTGAACCCAGGCTCCACCGCCCACTCGTGTGTCACTTACTAGTTGTGACTCAGCTTCCTCAGCTGTCGCTATCCCACCTGCTAAAAGCTCTGGTGAGGACCACGCGGGAGCCAGTCCACCGAGGCCCTGGCCAAGCCGGCAAATGCCAGTGCCGGCCCCAGGGTCTCCGCAGGGGAGGGGGAGGGGAAGGGGGGCCGAGAGCGAAACCCTGCTGGGCAGCTGCCCCTCCCCTGCCCGGGCCAGCAGCTCTCCAGCCGGTCACCCACAGGCCGTGGTCTGGGTGCGGGTGACGGGCCTGTGCCGCTGCCGGGGGAGGCGGGACGAGGCCAGTCCCTGCAGATCCGTACGTCTCGGGGCTGCTATTTTTAAGGGCCTGAAAGGCGTCCTTTCTCTGGATACCCCTGCGCTTCACAATGCGGGTCTGTTCCCCGTGGGGATGTGATTTCATCTGGAGGAAATGTCTGGGGGGAGGGGGAAGGGGGGACAGAGGCCGCTCCCTGCATCATCTGGCTCTCCTCGCCCGCCCGGGGCACAGGGTCGCTGCCCTCCAACAACCTCCATGAGCGGGCACTCAGCCTCCCTCTCCTAGCCCCGGGCCGGTGGCACTTCCAGGGCAGGCATGGCGCCCGCTCCGTGCCCCTGGCTGAGCCCCCAGCCCAGGCAAGTATGAGTGGGAGGCCTGGAGTGGCCCCATCCACAAAGGCCAATCTCTGATGGGGACTCAGGCCCTGGGGTTGAGTGTGAGCCACTCTGGGAGTTCCTCTTCCTGCAAATGCAAAGTCTTCTTAAAATGCACATGAGCTTCCCCTACTTTACAAACTGCCCGCCCGGTGGCCTGCAGGGGCGAGTCCAAGCCCCAGGCACTGGCTAAGGGCCCCGTCACCCGCTGGCAGGCTGTGCAATGCCAGGCAGGTGCCTTGCCCTCTCTGAGTCCTGGAGCTGGAAAGTACTCCCCAACCAGTAGGGACAGACCCCAGCACAGGTCCTGCCCTCGGCCAGCGGGTTCCTGGCTGGGGCGGTGCTCCAGCCCCTCTCACGCGGCCGCCCCCACCTTTCCGGGCTGCCCCCAGCTTGCTGCTCCCTACACTCACCTCTTCAGAGGGTTCTGTACTTTGTTTACCCCAGTTCCCTGCCAGGGAAAACAACGCGACGCGCCAAGGGTCAGCTCCACTTTGAAACCCTCCCTGACAGCCCCCGGCTAAACAGGCTGCCCCCTAGGGGGTCCCAGGACCCCTCACTCCAGTGCAGCCCTGGACTCACTGTCCTACAGGAAACTCGCCCATCCCTGCTGCCCATCCCTGGCCCAGCTCGGCCGGGAGTCCCTGGGGCCAGGGCCTTGCACGTCCTTCATCCTCACACCTGCTCTCGCCCCTGGAGTGTGAACACATCCACCCTCCCAGCCAGCACTGCCTCCCTCCGCTGCCCCGCACCCCCTCCTCGCCCTGACGCACCCCAAGGCCCCCTGAGGCACTCCCTTCCTGGCATAAGGGTCCCCCTTAGCTCACACCCTTGGCTCTTGGGAAACACGCCACTCAATGCCTCCCCAGCCTGCTCAGGGGGACCCCTTGCCGCCTCTGGCTGCCCTAGCCCCCAGAGGGCTTCAGTCTTCCTCTGCAAAGTGGAGTGACCCCCCCCCTCGGAAGGCTGTAGGGAGAACTGGCTGCAATGACGCCCCTGGAGGGCTCGCACTGGCCCTGGCAGACCCCAAGCCTCTATTTGTGGTGACGTCACTTAACAGAACCCCGAGACTTCCTGGCAGGGGGACCTGTGACCGGATGCTGCCCCGCCCGTGACTGGCTCTGTCTGAGGGAGGCCTGGACTGGGCAGATGTAAGTCCTGCCTGGGTAACACCCCTCACCAGGGACTTGGGGGCTGCTGGCTCAAGCACCCCACACTGGGCCTCGTCCCCTCATCCCAGGGGCCCCTTGGGCTTGGCCCGGGGAATAGGTTTCAGGGAGAAAAGCCCCTTTGCAGGGGGTCCCAGGAACCGAGGGTCCCGGGGAGAGCGGAGGGCATGGCTGTGTCCTCCCTCCAGGGGGCCCCGTGCAGGGTTCTGGGACGGGGGAGACGGCAGGTCCCCTGGCTCGCCCGCAGTCCCTGGTGCCCACAGGACAGGCTGATGTGCTGCGAGAGACCCCAACAGAGCCCCCTCCAGCTCCCAGGCCAGCCCAGGACATTTCCCACCTGGGCCTGGGGCGGGACGGGAGGTGGAGTCTGAAGGGATGACCGCCAGGTGCAGGCCACAGGGACGTGTCTGACACCAGCCAGGAGCCTCCTGGTCTGGGCCCTCCCATCCTCACAGCAGCGACGCGGTGCCAGCATCACTCTCACACCACACGCTCTAAATACAGACTGTGGCCCTCGCCCGTGTGGCTCAGTAGATAGGGCGTTGGCCTGTGGACTGAAGGGTCCTGGGTTTGATTCCCGGTTCAGGGCACGTGCCCGGGTTGTGGGCTCCAACCCCAATAGGAGGCGTGCAGGAGGCAGCTGATCAATGATTCTCTCTTATCGTTGATGTTTCTATCCCTCCCTCCCATTCCCCTCCTCTCTGAAATCAATAAAAATATATTAAAATAACCTAGAATAATAAAAGCGTAATATGCTAATTAGACTGAACAGCCAGACGACCTGCTGGATGAAGCCAGGGCTGCGAGGGCCGAGCCCCTTGCACGAATTTCATGCGTTGGGCCTCTAGTAAATAAATAAAGACATAAATAAACACAGACCGCGTCTGAGTCCGGGCTCTCCATGCACCGGCCAGTGACCGCAGACACATTCTGTAACCTCCGTGCCTCGGGCCTTGTTACCAAATGGAGCCAAGACAGCCTCTGCCTCGGGGGCGTGAGGGTTAAAGGACTCACACACGTCCAGCAGCACCTGCCATGCGGGAAGCGCTCAGCAACGCTGGCTCATCTTGTGGCTGCTATTGGAGAACGCGGGGACCCAGGCCCAGAGGCTCCGAGGAGCAGGGGGCTGAGCAGGCGGCACCGGGATGCCACCCCGAACGCAGGAACACCAGCCACCCCCTCGAATGTGAGGAAACCGAGGCCCGGAAAGGCCCAGCGGCCCGGCTCTCCCTGCTGAGAGTCCCCGAGGCCCCGCGCCGGCCCCCGCCTTCCTCCCTCGCACACCCACTCCGCTCCCGAGAGACACACCATGAACAGTGTCACCCCAGGGAGCCTGCGCTGGGATCCGCTCTCTCACGCTCTCGAAGACGCATGGCTCTCGGGGCCGGGCCGGCAGCATCCACGCGCTCCCTCGCTGGCTGGCGATCAATCTGCAAGAAGGCAGCGCGTTGGGCGGTCTCAGCCACCTGCGCGGCTCCCGCTCCAGGCAGGCCGCTCCCCACCCCAGTGCTCTGCGGCCCAGCCTCCAGGCCCCAGTCCACCTTCGGGGGGTGGGGGGCCCAGCCCCTGCCCGCTGAGACCGGTGACCCGGCCGGGTCTAGCCACGCCCTAGAGCTGCCCGTCCCCGACCAAGAGCAGCCTCCCCAGGCCAGAGAGTGGCTGCCCGTTCTGGCCTCAGTTTCCTCTTCTGAGGGAGGAGGCACTGGGACTGAGGGGAGGCTTGTCCTACGTCAGTTAACAAATGTTAGTGTTTGTGTCCACAGCAAGCGCTGTGTGCGCCTTGTGAGAACACAAACCATGAGAAGGCAGAGTGTAAATCTAAAAATCAATACATCTCAGGACAGAAACTAAGCAATTAAGGTAGAAGATTGGGGAGATCCACTGGAACCCATTACAGATGGGCCGGACAGAAAGGCCCCATAACTGCACCTAAAACTCTCATCAGACTCCGGGCTTCCTGGCAGCCAAAGGGAAAAGGGAAACTGGGGGGTCTGCAGGGCTCTTTCAGCTCTGGAACCGGGGGGTGGGGGGTGGGGGTTCAGAGCCTTGCTGCCCTGAGGGGAGGGCCCAGGACTCCACCCCCGGGATGAATGCGATTCCACGGAAAGTGCTTTGAAAGCCGAAGATGCTCCCCAAACGGTGACAGGGGCAGGCCATGCTGCCTGCCGGGCCCCTTCGGCCTGTCTCATTCCAAGTGTTTCTGTGCCGGGTGCTGGAGCACATCTAGTCTGGGGGGCATCTGATCGAGGGGGGATTGACCGCAGTGAGCTGGGCCCCGGGCAGCTTGCTGGGCAAGTGGCAGCCCGCTTGCCCTCACGGTTGGGCAGATGGCGCCTCTCTCTTCAGCAGCGTCCCGGGTGCCGGTCTCGCTGGGGTCGGACCCCTGTCTTCCACTTCTTCGCCGCAGGGCTGGCGACCTCTCTCCAAGGGAGGGCTCACACGCTGGGGGTCCCCGGGTGACGGGGGTGGGGACAGTTCAGCCCACCTGTAATTTGGGGACCCTGTCCTTGTGCCACCCGTGCGTGCATTGGTCAGTTACCCACCATGCCCTGGGCCGTGGCTAAGTCCTTCCCAGGCATAACTCACGCCGTCCCCATAACCACTCGTGGCTGGCACTGCTCGCACCCTATTTCACAGACGGGGTGCAGGGGCCGCCCCGGTCACACAGCCTGGCCGGACGGAGCCTGTGTCTTAGCCACTGCATGCGGCCTCTGAGCCCCGGCCCCGGCTGCAAGCATCCCCCGTGGGGTGAGGAGGCAGGGCCTCAGGGCGAGTGTGGGCGAGTGTGGGTGTCGTGCCATTCTGCCGCCAAGGGAACTGAGCCCAGGGCACTTCCACGGTGTGTCTCAGGGTGACGGGCCGTGGAGCCGGGAGAGAGCGCGGAGTGAAACTCTCTGAGGGCTATTACGCCAGCCTCACAGAGGAAGGAACTGGGGCTCAGACGGGCACAACGTTTGCCCAGAGATCCCGTGGCCAAGCGAGGCAGAGCCGGGACTTCATTTGAAAAGACTCTGCCGTGAGGCCGGCTGCATGCCCACACGTGCGGACCAGGCCCACCCGTCCCTCCTCCCCGATCGCCCTTCCCCTCCCGGGCCCGCACCCCACTCAGAGGCTGGGCTCGAAAAGTCACAGGAAGGGAGAGGGCTGCGAGGGAGGCGGTAGAGAGAGAGCGGGCGTGGGCCGGGGCCACATGTGCCACCAGCCTGTGCCCGGGTGCGTGCAGCCCAAGTTAGGGGCCGAAAGCTGTCGCTTTTCTCGCATCATCTGTGCCGCAGCAGAAGGCAGAGCCGAGCCTGCCCGCGGCCGGGGCCGGATTTCAGCTACAGATGGATCCTCACGTACCCTGGCCGGGGACTGCAGCCGTGGGCCTGGTGTGGCCCGGGCAGGAGGGAACGCCACTGCCACGCGCTCCCCGCTGCCCCCCAGGGTCTTGGATTCACAAGCAGCTTCCCCACAACCCCCACCAGGATGGCCTGGAACCCCGGGGCGGCCCCTCCTGCGTCCCTCACGGCAACCCTGTTGGGGGTATGGCTGTGCCCATATCACAGATGGGAAAACTGAGGCTCCAAGAGGTCCAATAACCGAGTGAGTGAGGGCCAAGTCAGGCTCCGAAGCCAGGTCTCTCCACAAAAGAGCAACCCGGGGGCCGGGCACCAAGTCCTGAGGAGAGGACAAAAGGGAGCAGCCCCAACTCAGGGGGCCGTGCCTGCGGCCACCCTGGGCGAAACACAGAAACAGCTCCAGCAATTAATCTGTCACCTGCTTATTTTTTTAAAATATTCTTATATAGCGTCACTGCATCCCAGGCACTGTAGCAAGCAGCTCATGAATATCACCTTCTTTAATCTTTCTAACAACCTTACGTGGTGAGTGCTATTCTTTTTACTGATGGGAAAACCGAGGCCCAGAGAAGCGACGTGACCCGCCCAGGGGCACTCAGCCAGTGAGCAGCAGGGCCAGGCCGCGGGACCCCTGTGCCCCTCATCCACCGACCACTTCTCACGAGGCTCCAGCTGCGAGTCTCACGCGAGGTATTGTCCGCTCGTCCACGAGGAGAACCCGCCACCTGCCACTGGCCCTGCCACCGCCACCAGCCAACTCCCCAGGAATCCACCGGGGCCTTTTGTTTCCTGCCGCTCGTTCCAGGAGGGCGGCTGGCTGCCGGGAATGAGGAGGAAGGGCCGAGGGCGGGCGGCAGGACCTGCCCTGGCAGCCAGGCTGGGTCCTCCCGTGCCCCAGAGCCTCCGTCCGGGGGGGTTCCGCCGGGCTCGCTCAGTGGGGCTGGCATGGACCCGTCTCCGATAGCAGGAAGGGTTCCCTGGTCCTGCCAGGCTTGGTTTCTGAATTCCTCTTGGAGGCTATTTTCCTGAACCAGGAAGGGGCCTGGTCCCACACTCACGCTGTAGTGGAGGGCGGAGGTGCCTGGCGCAGCGCAGAGGGCATGCCCGGCCGCATGAGCCTCAAGCCCCGGACCGTTCCGTCCTGCCTGGCGTGGGGAGGGCACGGGCAGGCGCGGGCAAGCACCCATCCTGCGTTTGCATCTCTTCAGACTGAGTCCTCCCTGTGCCCCGTGGTCCCCTCTCCTGCCCCCCCCCCTCGTGCCCTGAC